GAGAGAGTGTGCGTGTGTGTGTGTGTGTGCGTGTGTCAGTAATCAGAGATGTGAGCCGCTCGCTGTGTGTCTCCTCAAGGCTTCGCACATGACGTTAAGTGACATGTGAATTGACAGACACAGTCCCTCCCAAAGCGTTTCCGCTCTTCCTCTTAAACGTGCTGTCACTGGAGATCAGAGTCTCTCTCCTGAGCATCAGGCTGCATCTCTCTCCTCGTGTCGGTTTATTTTATTCTCATGTGTCGCCTCCAGTCCAGCTGCTCTTCGGTCCACAGGTCACTTGCTGATCACCTGACTCATTAGTCAGCCGCTGAACTGCACCTGCTCGTCACCGTGGTGACACACTCCACCTGTACCTGTCCTGAAGAAAAATGATCCTCAGGATGCTGAGGACTGTTACTAGGCTGTTGATATGTGGTTTCCAAGGAGGTCTGGGTGGTTGTTATGAGGTTGCTAGGTGTCCCTGTGATCTTCTGACATCATGTCAGTGCGCTCACTTGTTCTTTGTTGGATTTTAATATTGAATTTTGCGTATCATAAAATAATTTCACAGACAAGTTTATATCCCTTAATATGTTCTTAAAAACCCCACCCCACTTATTCTATTCTATTCTATAGTATATAATGGTGCCTTTAGAGGAACAGAATCATTATTTGAGGATAGTCAGTGTTATTTCACCACAGACACACCCACTTCACTGCTTTACAGTGTGTGTGTGTGTGTGTGTGTGTGTGTGTGACTCTGTGTGTGTGTCAGTGAGTGAGTGTGTGTGTCAGTGAGTGAGTGTACTAGAAGTTAATTGATCTATTTATGACAGCATTTTTGACAGCATCTTCCTTTTACAGCATTTTTACACACGTGCCTAAACTTTTAACAGCACTGTAGCTTTGCAGGAGGTTTCTTGAAGCATCAGTTCTTCTGGATTGAGTCTGTCTCAGTTTGTTCTGTTTCTTCATGTGACTCCAGACAGACTGATGATGATCAGATCAGATCTCTGTGTGCAGCACAAACATAAATCTCACTGCATTATTACAATTAATGGCAAAAACTGATGTTTCCTACCGACACACTACAGCAAAAGATAGAAATAACTGACTTAAAACCATTTCTAGCTGCTGGAAATACTAGTGGGCTATCTGCTTTACTAGTGTTCTATCATTTTGGCCAGCACTGTATATACGCTGGGATATGCTGATGCTGAGATCACCTGTTGTGTGTCGTGTGTGTTGTATGTTGTGTGTGGTGTGTCGTGTGCAGGAACAGTCTCTCCTGCAGCCTCCCACCCTGCAGCTGCTGAATGGCATGGGTCCTCTGGGCCGCCGGGCGTCTGACGGCGGAGCCAACATTCAGCTTCACGCGCAGCAGCTGTTGAAGAGGCCGCGCGGTCAGTCGCCGCTGGTCACCATCCCGGTGAGACAATCCTCCTGTTTCTCACAGCTGAGCATGACGTACTGCGTTCATGATCACACATGACATTCATCAGCACAGTGACGTTATGTTCATCAGATCAGGATCTGGAGTAGAGCACATTCTGATTCACAAGCTCATTTCTGATTCCATATCAATTAGTTTGGCTATATATCGGCTACATTACGTCAAACAATCTGTCAATTAATGCTGTCAGCTCATACATTACTATAATATCAAAGGTTAAAATGAATAATGCAATAGTCCAAAGTATTAATTGCATTTTATTTATCAGTGAGCTCTGACGCATGTCTCTGTGTTTGTCAGCATCCGATCCTGGATGTGGCTCCGGTGGATGAGGAGGGGTCCGACGCCGAACCCGATCCGGAGGCCGTTCAGAGGTACGGCAGTGTGTGTGTGTGTGTGTGTGTGCGAGTGTGTGTGAGAGTGTGTGTGTGTGTGTGCGACGGGAGGCTCTCGCAGGCTCTTTCTCATCTCACACGCTTCATTTTGACACAAACACACTCCTTGTGGTGCTTTCTCTCAACCTCCTATGAAGCCCCATGAACTCTGTGCTCCAATATGACGTTATAGTGCAGTAAAGACGGAGGTACAATGCTGGCCAAAATGATTAAAACACTAGTATTTTCAGCAGATAAAAATGGTTTTAAGTCAGTTATTTCTATCTTTTGCTGTAGTGTGTTAGTAGGAAATATCAGTTCACATTTCCAAACATTCATTTAGCCATTAATTGTAATAATGCAGTGAGATTTATGTTAGTGCTGCACACAGAGATCTGATCTGATCATCATCAGTCTGTCTGGAGTCACATGAAGAAACAGAACAAACTGAGACAGACTCAATCCAGAAGAACTGATGCTTCAAGAAACCTCCTGCGAAGCTCCTGAGAAACTCTGCTCAAGTGCACCGAGGGCAAAAGCTGCTTTAAACACAAAGATGCTCACACCAAATGTTGATTTCATTTAGTTACTAGAAGTTAATTGATCTATTTATGACAGCATTTTTGACAGCATCTTCCTTTTACAGCATTTTTACACACGTGCCTAAACTTTTAACAGCACTGTAGCTTTGCAGGAGGTTTCTTGAAGCATCAGTTCTTCTGGATTGAGTCTGTCTCAGTTTGTTCTGTTTCTTCATGTGACTCCAGACAGACTGATGATGATCAGATCAGATCTCTGTGTGCAGCACAAACATAAATCTCACTGCATTATTACAATTAATGGCAAAAACTGATGTTTCCTACCGACACACTACAGCAAAAGATAGAAATAACTGACTTAAAACCATTTCTAGCTGCTGGAAATACTAGTGGCCAGCACTGTAAATGGGCTTTGGTGATGCTCCGTGTTTGGAGGACTGATGGGCTCACACATGTGTGCCGCTGCTCACTGATCCCGTCTCTCTCTCTCTCTTTCTCTTTCCAGAATCTTCCAGAAGTCCAGATGGAGCAGGATGTCGAGAGCACCGTCACGGTCCGACAGCCCAAGCTGCCCAAGCAGACGTGGGACGACGTCCCCAAACCGCTCCAGGACAGGGAGCGCACCAAGCAGAAGATCCAGCGCTACGTCCGCAAAGACGGCAAGTGCAACGTGCATCACGGAAACGTGCGGGAGACCTACCGCTACCTGACGGACATCTTCACCACGCTGGTCGACCTCAAGTGGAGGTTCAACCTGTTCATCTTCGTGTTGGTTTACACCGTGACGTGGCTGTTCTTCGGCTTCATGTGGTGGCTGATCGCTTACATACGAGGAGATCTGGAGCACATAGGAGACAACCAGTGGACTCCTTGCGTCAACAACCTCAACAGCTTCGTGACCGCGTTCTTATTCTCGATAGAGACGGAGACGACCATCGGCTACGGCCACAGGGTGATCACTGACAAGTGCCCCGAGGGCATCGTGCTGCTGCTGGTGCAGTCGGTGCTGGGCTCCATCGTCAACGCCTTCATGGTGGGCTGCATGTTCGTGAAGATCTCGCAGCCCAAGAAGCGCGCCGAGACTCTGGTGTTCTCCACCAATGCCGTCATCTCCATCCGCGACGGCCGGCTTTGTCTGATGTTTCGCGTCGGAGACCTGCGGAACTCGCACATCGTGGAAGCATCCATTAGAGCCAAACTGATCAAGTCCAAACAGACCAAGGAGGGAGAGTTCATCCCTCTCAATCAGACGGACATGAATGTGGGCTACGACACCGGAGACGACCGGCTCTTCCTGGTGTCTCC